ATAATAAAATTTACTAGATTTATCTCGTTATATTCGTCTCATTTAATGTATATTTGTTAGAGCTTATTTAGAAATTAGAAGTTTATAGCTTAATTAAGCACTCAATTTGTCCTCCATGGCTCCATGCTTATATCTGGCGTGCAAAATTAAAAGTACTTGAAAACAGTGGGATATTTTAGAGTAGGAGTATTATCCTCTTTATAAAAGGTTCAGAAACTCCACAATATAAGACCAGATATAGAAAACGTTCAGCATTTACCCCACCAACTAAAAATCAAACGTTATTTCCATGAAAACAGGCCGACATCATCATGTTGTGGTAAAGTATTTTTGGGAAGTAAACCATGAATTTCAGTTTCTTGCACTTATATTCTTATAATATCACATTCATGTGTCAAATTGACATTTAGGTAAATTTCTAACAATTGTTTTTTAGCTTTCGAACTAGGGGTGGACTGAACCGGGCCGGTTCGGGCCTCGGGCCTGGGCCCGGCCGGGCCTCGGTTCAGTATATATAGGCCCGAGCCCGAACCGGGGGTGGCCGGTTCCGGGCCGGTTCCGGGCCAGACCGGGCCGGTTCCGGGCCGGGCCACCCGCCCTATTAATTTTTTTTTTTTTTTTTGGCTTCTTTATTTAATCCCCTACCCCTCTTTCTCAACCCCAAACCACCCCAAACCATCTCAAATGGACCAAAATACCTAATCTAACCCAAAACATAAAAAATTTTCAAAAAAAAAAAAAAAAAATTAATTCCGGCCCGGACCGGGCCCGAACCGGCCGGGCCGGTTCACCATATGGAAGGCCCGGGCCCGGAACCGGGAACCACCGGGCCGGTTCGACCCGAACCGCCGGTGGACCGGGCCACCGGGCCGGGCCGGTTGCTACAGTGGCCGGGCCGGGCCGGTTCCGGGTCGGGCCGCCCGGCCCGAGTCCAGGCCTATTTCGAACTATAACTTCAATTATATTTTGAGTTCGGTTTGTCTACCTTTGTCTACCTTTATACTATGTATATATTATTTGCATTACTCTATTTGATCATCATTATTATTTATAAGAAATAATTACACATTTATGACTAAAAATTGTTTTAAAAAATGTGACTAATTATTAGAATAGTAATGTAATAATAGTAACTTATATTCCAGTTTTAAATTTAGGTTACCATATTCTTAAATTGTAGTAACTATTATCCATGTTTTACAAATAGAAAGACGTTATAAAATATTTAAACTAACCCTGATTTAATTGCTCGTATGCTTTTAAATGTTTTTTTATCGCTAAGTACGATAGTACAGAGTATATTTTAATGAGGACTAGTTGTGGAAGAAATAACTTCAACATTTATTAATAACACAAAAATGACTTATATATAGGGTTTTGATCAAATAAAAATCATTCTTCCCGTGAAAACTGCAAACTGTTCACTTTTCGTTTAATGTGATCTACTTTAAAGGTGGCCTATTGCAATTTTTTGCATTTATAGAAAATTTAGACTTATTTATCAAAATGTCACGACATTTCATTTATTTGGCTCGGCTCGATCAAAACTCCCAGAGTGCTAGATCACCCTTAAAGTGCATCACACTATTTTTTTTTCGGCAAAGTCTGCAGTTTTCACATTAAATGTAAAATGTTCTACAGTAATTTATGTGTTCTATGAATGAGATAAGAAACATTATCGTATAAGTAAACTTCTAATGGTTAACCCCATTCAAAATAAAGTAGTCCATTTTCAACTAGGTTCATTTTGCCTATTGATATTTGAACTAGAATAAGTACGTGACACTTTGAATACATATAAAAAAATATAGAGTTGCGTTTTAAGTTTGTGAATTAATTGTGATTCCTGATTGGCAGGTAATGAATGAAAAAAACGTCAATTCATTCGCTAATCAAGGTTTGTGCCGCTATGTATGTTTTTCTTGGAAAGAAATAGACTTAAATTGATATCACAACATTCAGATAGGAGTAAAACGAAAAAAAACTACAAACAATCATCAATCTTAAACCAGATTTAGAATCAATCACCTTCAAAAAGCAATATGACTTGTTATGATCCTATAATGGACAAATGAGCCAATGACGGTTAAGCAGGACTCTCACAATAAAAGTAACCAACAAAAAGATAAACAGTCTGATCATGAAAAATAAACAATAAGCAAACAGTAAAATTAAAGTGTTGATTCCAACCCTGGACTCTCCTGCACTTCATGACGGTAGTTTAGGAGGGGGCGATTGAGCAGTACTATAGATGCTTCCTCACCTTGCCTCTTGTTAATCATATTCTTTATCAAGTCTCATTTGTCATCACTTATCACGGACGACCTCGAATTCGTATCTATTACAGCCTTTAGCCCTACGCTTCGTCCATCACCTTCTGATCTCAGCCATGAACGACATCTTCGAAATTCTCCACATGTTGCTAGGGGTGCACGACCTTTGGCCATCGGAGATCAAGTATCTGCGATCCGTCTTCCGTCCACACACAACCTTCGGCGACCGGAGACCGCTGGAGATCTTGTTCTCAATCATTGCAAAATCCGACCCTCCCTGCCTACACCTTTCTGTTCCCTCCGCTTAATCACAACAAAAGAGGAAAGATAGCTGCGGAAGAAAAAATCCTACGTAGTAAAAGACATCGAACTACGAAAGTTGTTTCACCCAGTCCAATAAATTTTAAGAAAAAATCAATTTCATTTTTAATGGAAACACCATGATCATCAACAGATGTGACTTTAACGAATATGTGACTGAAAATTTCTACCAATAAAAAACCTCAATTTTCAAACATTCTTGGAAAATATTTATTTTCTAAAGATGTATTATGATCGAGAATAAAGAGAGCTCCTAGGGCAAAGCCGCCGCTAGGTAATTTCCGATTACGATCTTTCTTGATCGAAGTTCGGTCAGTGTTTCCCTAGCGAAATCTCTCGCGTAGAGTTTTTACTTCGCCGCCCTGGTGCGACGTTTCTTTCAATCGACGCAGCTCTGCGCCGGATTGCCATGGTTTGGACGTAGCTCGTGATGGATGATCGTGGCAGCGAGAAGATGGTGGAAGAAGCGAGAGAGAGACGTAGGGATGATCTGGACATGGTTAGCGTGGAGAGGCTGAACGCTCCATTCGATGGCGTGGATTTGGGTCATACGGCGGGTACGCCACTGAAAGAGGGTATCAATCGAGCGACGGTCCGACCTCCGCCTGAACCACCACCATGGGTTGTACGAGGTGCTAGAGTCCGTGAAAGTTTTCCTAGTAATTTTTATCTGTTTGTCATTTGTTTTTTTGTGTTCATCTTTGTTGTTGGGTTTGACAATTTGTTTGAGTTTTTAGCCTCTCTTTATGTCATTGGGTATGGTTGGATCTATGGGAACAGGTTTGGCTGTGTCAAGCACACTACATGGTTAGCGATTCGTGTTGCTCTTTCAGGGTGACCGTCTCAAAGTCTCACCATAGGGTCACAGTCGTAGTTGTTGGAGTTTCAGTTGATGTCAGTTTTATTTTCTCTTTGTTTGATGTAATGATTCTGAATCTTTTGATATTAATAGAGGCTTGTTTTGATGATAAAAAAGATGTATTATGATCAAGGAGTAAGTAACGTTTATGCTGGTAAAAAGTTCCGAATGTTCAAAAATCAAAATTATTCCAATTTCCCCCTAAACTTCAAAGAGATTGTACAGTTTTTTCTGTTTGTTGCAAACAGATACATACATCAGAAGATTCATACCAGTTTTACGAGGACTCCTTTTAATATATATACTGAATTTTAAAGAAGTAAATTGGACCCTTGATTGTTTGATTGCTTTTGTTTCAAAGGCGGATCCAGAAATTTGAGATGTCATGGACTGAATAGAAATTATACTAGGTTTAAACATTAGAGGATGAGCTAAACTTGAAAAATTTAAAAATTTACACTAAAGAAATTGAAAATTTTCTAAGTTGCACTGGGCTTCAGCCCACCATAGCCCATACATAAATCCTCCCCTATTGTTGAATTACTTAAATGATCAAGTGAGGCAAACACATCTTTGGTTCTAGATCTCCGTAGCCAGTGTCAACATGGTTGTTTATAACCCATCTTCAAGATATATTTGAACACGTGATCTGGAGGCGCATTGAACGGAGGAATGGATGTTAAAGGAGTACTTGAATTACTCAAAAACTATCAATGCGTGATCAAACATATGAAGTTAGGAGTAAACCATAAGGAAGTACCAGTGTTCTCTCATGAGGACGGTGGACGCTACTTGAGAGTATAAGCTTACTTGAGCGTATAAGCTGCCAATAAAATGCAGCCGTGCTTGGTGTACACCTTTCTTACACTTGTCTGTCTTACGCACACAGAGTTGTCTGTACACATACAACTCTATAGAGCCCACATAGAGTTGTATGTGCACATACAACTCTATGTGTATAAGAGAGACAAATGTATGAAAAGTGGACACAAAAGATGTGATTCACGTGAACACCCAATATTTTACAAATAAATTTTACATATCTTATTTGACACTAAAGTCTGCGAATTCAACCTCTAATGTTGTACTCAGTATAACTGTATAACACTAGAATGCTACTACTGTAGTAGTACAACATCATTTAGTGTCTTCCAAATTAGGATACTTTCACTTGGGCCATGATTTTCCAGTAAGGTACTAAGGTCTAAGTGTCTAACATTATATGCAATTTTATATTTTATAAATTTAGTCAAGCCTGGTCAAGTATAAATGTATAATTGAGGTGGAAACATCCTCAGTCAGACATAATTATTCTGTAAGGCATGTAAATAAACCACATTTAATTATTAAATGTTGAATTAAGTGAACTATATGCAAAATGGCAATTTGGAATGTCAATATTATATTCACGGTTAGCACTTAGCACAGTTTCTGTAATATGGTAGAAATGTGTTTCGAGACGTAGCATAATGTTTTACCCAAATGGTTTATTATGTGGCTTGCAGGTTTGCATCACATATGTGTACATGAGAATATGAGGTTGTGAAGTCTGGGCTAAGGGCTTTAGAGTCCATATAACTACAAACAGGGTTGGTCAATACCGTTATGGATATGATGCAAAGCAACAGACATCAAAGTCATATTGAGAAAGTCATTTTGTTCTAGATGTCTGGAACATGTTAGTTTTCCAAACAGAGGAAGTTTGGAATTTCAAGTAACAATAATTTACTGATCCATTTTAATTAAGCAATTTACATATAATCTATTGATACATTGTAGAAACTGTTTCCGCGGCCTGTTGAACTTCAAACTGATCTTCAATATAGAAACTGGAGGCCGGATCCCATCTTTCCACTTATCCTTTGAAGCTGCAAAAATGCAAACCCCACCGGACAAGCTACAGGCATACAACAGGGACACTGTCATCATAAAATGGAAATATTGCAGTCATGAGTAAAATAACCTAAAAGTAGTGCATTGTTTTAACTCGAGCAGAAACATTTATACAATAAATGATGTTGTATAACTGTATCTAAGCAAGTGATATTCAGCCATGTTCCGTTATTTACAGTGTGAATTTCCAGTATCAATCTACTAATGCAACTTAAATATAATCTGTAACAACTGTATCAACATAAGATGATTTATACTTCATTTGATTATTATTCATTGATTCCCTACTAAGAAGCACACCAAAAGAAAACCATCTGTCATAAAACTTTGTCACTGTTTTTTTGCATGAATTGTAGTGTTAGTCAAATTAACTACAACAACAAAAACAACATTGCCCCAGTATTCCAAAGGCTCCCACCTACAGCGGGTAAAGGGGGTGGGATGTGCGCAGCCTTACCCATGTACAAAAGCACAAAGAGATTGTTTTTGCTTTTTTGGATGACTTGAGAATTAAATTAACTGACACTAGAAATATAATGCTACCATCCTAACCAGTTGAGAAAAGGGTGTTGATTTGGTGGGCGACTCTACCTTTTGAGTTGAGGTATGGGTTTTGGTGGTGATCATAATCTAAGCAATAAGGCAATCCCTAAGGGCTTGAGGCTTGAGATGAAGTCTTGACTGTGAATTGAACCTTGGAGTTTAAGTTTAGATGTGGCTTTTACCATGTTTGGCAGGACACCCTTCAGATTTTGGTGGTTTTAGGATAAAGTTAGAAATAGGATTGTGCCACTTAGGGTGTGTTTGGTTCATTGGCATTGGAAGGGAGGGGATGTTTTGTGTTATGTTATATTGTTATGTTATTTAGTTTCTATGTTCCGTGGGAGGGCAAGGGAGGGGAAGTAGTTAAATCATTCCTCCCATATTTTTTAACCAATGAGTGGAGGGTAGCACTTTCCCTCCCCTTCCTCTAAAAACTCTGAAGTCCGAACCAAACATTTTTTTTCTGAAGTCTGAATCTGAACCAAACATATTCTTGGACTTTGTTTTGGAACAACGAGGTGAAACTGAAGAAATGCCTCTATTAGGGGCTATTTCCAAGTTGAGTGTTGTCATTTGAAGCTATATTTGAGGTCACTAACCCTGAACCCCTAACTGAATAGAGTATACCTTTTGGAAAGAAAAAATAATACTCCATATGATTACTGGAAAAAAGAAAAAAAATGACATCAAAGGGCACGTTTCAATATGCAGTAGATTGTTTGAATAAATTACTTAAAAACAACTTTGGTATATGACAATGAAAAGCTAAAAGCAAAAGGTTTCAACTTTGGCTAATATTATTCAACTTCATTTCGTACTTATATGTAAATGAAGCTATTATTACATTGAAGAGTTGGATTTGGAGAATTTCAAACTTGAAATGAACTTGATTTGCCAAAAATTGAACTTACTCCGACTGTTTCAGAACTAAAGCAGTGCTGCTCGAGTTTTGCAATTGCAATATGCTCGAAAATGCAGGACAACTTATAATCCATAATAACCATACAGGGTTAGAAATTGAAACACATCATTACTGACACTTTTGAGAAGATATCATCTATAGTTACACACTGAATGAACTCTGAACATTTGAATGTCGATCATCAGTTCCTTGCACATCAGTTGTTTTTAGACAACCAATGATGAGAAAAATAGATGAGCGTATAGGCATGGATGATCGAAACATCAAATGCACAGGTTAATTGAGATTTCAACTACAAAGGGTCCAGGCTCTACAATTTCAAGAAATCCATCAAAATCACTTATTCCGCAACATTAGCTTACATCTTCTTTGCTAGACTCTTATATTCTATGAAATGTATTCAGATTACCTAAACGGAGAAATTTGAAATGTGAAGCAGAAATCTTTAATGGCAGCAAAAAATGAATATTTTTTTACTAGTAAAATTGGGAATAAGAAATGGAGGAGATCTAAACTGACCAAGAAATGGCGGATTGGCTGGGGTGCACCTTCTAGCTACAAATGGGGCAGAGCACCAAGCCGTTTTCGTTGCAATCAGAGCACCTCACCACCACAGTTTTGCCATGCTTCTCCTCCATGTCTTCCCTCACCATCATAACCATCTTACAACTTCCATTACATGTGAAACAAGGCAAGAACCGTGCACCACCACAACCTTCACACACATACCCGACTCTCAATTTTGGCAATCCTTGAAGCAAATCCCCCAACCCCCCTTCTTCAGCAATCCTCAATACCACATCTGCACCTCCAATGTATCTCCCTCTTACAAACACCCGTGGAGGTATTAGCTCACTGCTATCCTTACCCTTCATCAGACCCCTAAGCTCTTCCTTAAATCTTTTGTCCATTGAAATATCCCTGTCACAGATGGAAACCCCAGCTCCCTCAATAACAGATCTGACCGCATTGCAAGCTTCAAAGGTTTTTCTCACGCCCCTCAAGGTCGTCGTATAGATCACAACCTTGTTTTGCCCATTTGGCGGGCATAGCTCTTCGAACTGATCGAGAGAAGGGTACTTGGAATTGAAGGATTTTCTGGACAGTGTGGCTTCAACTAAGCTCAATGACTTTAGAACGACCGATTCATCAGCTTCAGCCCCTTCTGAGGAAACATTAGGGTTCGAGTTTTCTTTACTAAGCATTGTCTTCGAGCGTAAAGGAGAATTTTTGCAGCTACTGTCTGCAGTGGAAGTAGGTAAAGCAGCAAATCGAAAGCTCTTAGCGGCGCTTTGGCTGAACAGTTGTCCTGAATCAAGACCGGACATTAACTCCCATGAGTTGATAACTTCAGACGGCGGTTCAGAAAACTTGACCGATCTAGGTTCGGAAAGCAACGGGCTAGCGAAGAGTGTCCCGAGACTGAACCGAGTGGGCGGAGTAGGTGTGGCTGGCGCAGTGGTCTGCACTGGGGAAACACTACTCTCTTCGTCTCCGGACGAACGCGCCGGTGGATCGAGAGTCAAGAGACCGTAGGTGGTGGAGGTGAGCGACACAATGTGGTGGCCGAAGCCGGCGGAGCCGCCGATTTGGGCGAACTCGTCGTCGTGGTTGAGCAGAGTAGACGAAACACACCCCATTGTGTTGTATTTCCTGTAAAGGGAGAGATTTAAGGGAGTGAGAAGAGGACAATGGTGATTTGGAGCGATGGAGAAGACGACAGGGATTGGGATCCTCTGCCTTAAGGCAGAGGTGCCTTACTCAAATGGACGGCACAGATGGAAAAGTAGGCCTCGAGATTCGTGCAAAAAATGGAACCCTTCATCTTCAACCCTTCATTTTTTGATCTGATGGATGAAAACAGCCAGGCACCCTCCTTGGCTGCTTAACCAAGGCAGAGACGCCGGATCCAGACGACAGAGGAGTGAAGAATGTTTTAATGGCGGAATGGTTGTCGGTAGATACAGATGGGGTTCATTCAATTTTGAATTGTTGGCGCTCAGACCAGAAGGTCTTTTTTCAACAGTACGGAATAGAAAGTTAGAAACAGAGTAGGACGAGATCATCATATTCTGTCGCACTTTCACACTTTTAAATTTGAAAAATGTGATTAAATACGTAGATATTACTAAAACACAACCGTTTTCCTAATGTATGACTAACTATGTTTTTGTATGTTTGGTATGACTACATATCATTAAAATCATGGACGCATGGACGGTATAATTAGGGAAATAACAATAATACCCTTATAATTAAATAAGCATTGAGAAAGAGAAGAGTTACAGTTTGAGAAACATGCGCCAATAATTATAGAAGTAGATGTTGACTGGTATGCATGGGCAATAATTAGAGAACAATAAATAAATGGGCAATAAATTATAACAATAATAGAACATAAATTTACAAATGACAGTAAATATGTAATGACAGTTATATTGACATAGGCAGTAAGTCAGTAACTTAAGGACAATAAATAAAATATTTATATACGTTGGAATGGTAAATCATTGCATTCAATATGTGATCCATAAATGAAATAGACAGTAAACACAAAAAGGAAGTAAATGTGTAATAAGGCATTAATTATGCAAGAGGGCAGTAAATGGCAATATGGCATAGGTGGCAATAACTTTATTTGTACCTAAAATTACAAATACGCAGGTATTATGAAGAGAATCGATTGTGGGTTTCCAAAAATATAAAATACAAGTACATACTACTCCGTAATAATTAAGGAAGCGGTTACCATATTAAATAAACTACTTATTTTTAGGAATACTAATTCATAGACACCCTAATTAATTGGTAACTAGTAGAAGAGACGTGCATATCAGTTAGGCGACTAAATAGGAACAAATAAATACTAGTAGAGGGCAGCCGCTGAAATATTAAAAAAAGAAGAATAAATGATCATGCACGTGAGATGATAACCGATAAGTAGTAGTCATTTATTGGGAATAATAACTATAGAGTCATATGTTGGGAAAGACATATAGTTTTAGTCATATGGTGGATAATTTTCTCATAATTTATTTACTGAGTTGGACTTTTGTGAGCCACAAAAATAGGTTAGAATACAAATTGGGGTATCTATGACAGGGTTGTTTAAATTTTGATAGAGAAATGCTAGAGGTACCCAAAATGGGGTACCCCATTTGCACCTCACTCTATGAGTGGCTCACAAAACAATTACCCCACTTAAATTCATTGCTTTTTTTAACCACAAAACTAGGGAGAAGGTACAAAATGGGGTATAGAATGAGATAGCTTTAGAATTTTTCATTTTGGTATGACATACCAACTAAGCTTGCTACTCTATAGTTGGGATAAGAGGTAGACCCGGTCCAATCTGGCACTGTTTGGGTCTTGACTGAGTTTGAAATTTTCGATTTCAGGCCTGAAAAACGGCTCTTTCCATCCAAGAGGATATCCAGTCATGGTTCACCTATTTGGAGATCAAAACGGACGATTTTGGTGCCACTTTCAATCTTGGATCGTCAATTGTTTTTAGCTAGAACACTCGTAACCAACTCAGATCCGGATATAACTGGGTGAGACTCGGGTTTCTATAGGTAACGACCGGAATCGGGACTGGACTTGTACCGAGTCGCCTCTAGTTGGGATCGGGTCATCCATTACAGACTCAGTGTCTCGGTTCAAATAAATATGATGGACAATATAAAAAAGAAGACAAAAATTAGTCAAATATTACCCACTCAAAAAATGTATCAAAATTAGAATACATCCCACAAAGAAAAATCTCACAAACATTTTCAATATAAAGAGAGTATATTTTTATTATTTATGTTCTCACTTTAATATTTAGTGGTGCATGACAGCATGACTACATAGACATGGAGTTGGAGGGGATATTAAGTGCATGGTGTTTGGTTAGCGTTGTAGCCTTGTAGAACATTGTTAAATCCAATAAAGATACTGAGTATTGCTAATTAAACCTTTTTTACAAGTAAACGAGGTCTAAGTCTAAGTTTATAAACCGGACCAACCAACACGTAACAATTGTCTTTTAACATATGGAGTATGTAGTATTTCTAAATTATTATTGACTTTTCATTTTTTTATGATCCAATGCTTGCGCTACCCTAATCATGGAGTATATTGACTACACTCCAAAGTCTCTAGAAAGTCAAATCCGGGTCTAATCACGCGAACTCGAGCATGAATTTCATTTCCCTCCCTTCTTAGTCGTTGTGCAACTCCGTGAAGGTAGGAAGAATCATTGGGAGCAAGATCCCCTCATCTTCCCTTGGTGCATAGCGGGTTTCCAACACGAGATCTCACATATGCACCCGTATACACCTTCAAGATCTCTATTGTGTTTTTCAATTTCCATCGTCTTCATGCAACTTTTCATAATCCCCCTATATTATACTTTTATGATTTTCCAAATGGCAGTAAGTTTCAAAAAACGTTTGTTTTTCATCTATGATAATCGGTTCGCTTCATTTTACCTGCCTTATTTTCTTTTGCTTCGTTTTAAAATAAGTGTCGTATTTCTTTTTTAGAAACAAGTATGTGGTATATTACATTTCACTTTATTATACTTAAATTTAAACTATAACTTTTACTTTTTCAATTGTTTTATTGATAATTCTAGTAAACTAAAGCAGGACATGTAAAATGGGACATAAGAAGTATAAAATATTAGAGCATCTTCAATGCTACAATGTGCACGGTGCATATGTGGCATGAGAGAGATGGACACAAAAGATTGATTTTATGACATTTCTCTCTCTGTCTTTTTACGGTCTTATGTGTTTTTGGTAAGTTGCTCTCTGCAATGTCAACCACATTGTCTATATCTAGACATTGTGTTTGACATTGTGAAGAAAAACTTACCTAAATGAATAAGATCCTTCATATAAGTAGAGAAATATTTTATTTATTGTTTTTCTTGACTATCTCTCATGCCACGTGTGCACCGTTAACGTATTAGCATTGAAGATGCTTTTACTTCTGTCTCAATGCACGTTCACTTTTTAAATTAGATGATAAATAAGAAAAGTAAAAATTATATGAAGGATTTGGAGATAAAAGTGAGCAGATTTACAAATTGTATCAAATTAATTTCTTGGGAAAAGTACAGAAAAAGTACTTGTGGTTGAGCCCGTTTTTAGATAGGGTCATGTGTTTCAGTCTTTATCAAAGTGGTTCATGTGTTTGAATTCCCTTATCACAAGAGGGTCACGCCGTTAAAAACGTCTGAAAAAGACCGTTAAAAGTAACTCTGATTTTCAAAAGTGCCCCGAAAATTAAAAGAAAAATACCGGAAGGTGCGCCATAATAAGACGACCGCTAGGCCATCTTTGTTTTTTGTTTTCAGCCACCCTTGTCAGCGAAAAGTTCACCGAAAAAATGATATTAGTGAAATCATTTTTAAAAAATAATTCAAACAGGTCTGAAAAATCCCAAAGCGAAGGTGGTTTGGAGGTCATCTTGACGAGGCGCACCTTTCGATATTTTTCTTTTAATTTTCCGGACACTTTTGAAAATCGGAGTTACTTTTAACGGTCTTTTTCAGACGTTTTTAACGGCGTGACCCTCTTATGATAACGGAATTCAAACATATGAACCACTTTAATAAAGAATGAAACACATGACCCTATCTGAAAATGGGCCCAACCACAAGTACTTTTTCCGTACTTTTCCCTAATTTCTTTAATCAGAATTTTGGGTTTAATGCACCAAACCCCCCTGTGATTTGGAAATTCGGTGCATTAGCCCCATGTGATTTAAAAAATGCGTCAAACCCCCTTGTGTTTTAATTAATCATGCACAGAACCCCCTTTATGAATAAATTTAACGATTTGAAAATCATTTTACCTAATATTTTGATTGAATATGCAAATAAATATGTCAAAATCTCTGAATCATACAAAAATGTTAATCATTTTTCTTTTATTTGACAATTGAATTTGTTCACATAAGGGATTTGGCGCATGATTAATTAAACAAAAAAACTATTTGTACACACTATTGTACCCACTTTTGTACCCACTATGTCTGTGAGGAGTTCTTTTTTTGTCTGTGAATCCCGCTCATAGACAAAAATATGTCTATGAAGACATGGTGGGTACAAAAGTGGGTACAATAGTGGGTACAAGAAGAAGGGTTGTTAATTAAAACACATGGGGGTTTGACGTATTTTTTAAATCACATAGGGCTAATGCGCTGAATTTCCAAATGACAGGGTATTTGGTGCATTGAACCCCAATTTTTTCTACCCGTCTCTTTTGAACCTGTGCGACTGCACACCACAGCGTGAGAGCGTTTGACAGGAACTTCGAGGTTGCTCCGCCAAATCCATCCGAAATCAGAAATTGTGTGCCCACCCGATACCAGAGAGAGCAATTCAGCGATAAACTAGATTTCTTAAACCCCTTCGGTAGAGGATCAATCTGTACGCAGTAAGGGAATTAACGATGGGGCAACACGATATTCGCCGCCCGTTCAAGCGTCCAGCCATCTCCGACCAACAACGACGCAGGGACCAGTCTCTTCTCCGCCAGGAGCAAAACCGCCGCGACGCTCAGCTGCAAGCACGCCGTTTAGCCTCCACAATTCTGTCAATTCAGTCTGACCACCAAGAGCACGAGTCATTTTCTGAAGAGCCTGACATCGAACCCGGACCTGGAACAGAGCGAATTGAACCTGAATATCGACAGAGTGACAGCTATGATATTTGTCAGCTCTCAAGGATAAGAGGAGCCGGAGCTCGCAGGTGGTTTGCTAAGCAGCTTATGCTTCCCGAGTGGATGATAGACGTTCCTGATAACTTGAGCAATGACTGGTTAGTTGACTTAGTTCCCCTCATAGCCATTCCTTAATAATAGTTTCCAGCTTCCTTTTGATGAATCAGGGCATTCTAGATCCTGTTGTTTCTTGTGTGTAGTGAAGACTAAACTGAAGGCTTCACTTTTGTTTGATTTGCAGGTACGTATTTGCAAGGCCTGCTGGGAAGCGATGTTTTGTTGTATCTTCTAATGGGACAACTATCAGT